AGTACCAAAGAGAGGAATTAGAGAATAAAATAGCAAGTGTCCTTCTTTTGTAGCAATCTTCGTCCCTTGACTGCTTTTGCTCACCACTGCACGCCCAGCACCTAGCATGGGGACTGGCAAAAAGCAGGTGCTCAACAAATATCTGAAGAATGAAAGAATGTTCCAAAGAGTCAAATGTTCAGCACCCAAAGAATCAAATGTTTGTGACAAAATAGTAGGCATTAAGAAAAACTTATCTATGATGGTTTAGCTAGAAACCACATCGTTAGAACAACAAATGAAATTCTAATATAATTTCACATTGTAACACCAGCTTCATGATTTCCAGAAAAGAATGAATCTGATTACAGAACAGTTATATAAGTGTACATGGAGTAACCTGAATGAACAACCCAATGGCTATTTTAATGTGAAAATAAATCAATTCTGGAACTTCGAACAATAAGGGTTCAAACTGTATACCTGTTCTAAATTAATATGATCGATGTTTACCATGACTTACAAAAACAGGATGACAAATGATGTAGTTGTCTTTTTTAAGCTGCTTTAGAAGGTGGCCCCTTGGTTTAGGTCTTTAGTCTTTTTTTTTTTTTAAAGATTTACTTATTTATTTGAGAGAGGAGGAGGGAGAGAGCATGCATGCGTGCAAATGAGGGAAGGGACAGAGGGAGCAAATCTTTTTTTTTTTTTTTTAAGATTTTATATTTATTTATTTGACAGAGATCACAAGCAGGCAGAGAGAGAGGAGGAAGCAGGCTCCCTGTTGAGCAGAGAGCCTGATGCGGGGCTCGATCCCAGAACCCTGAGATCATGACCCGAGCCGAAGGCAGAGGCTTCAACCGGCTGAGCCACCCAGGCGCCCCGAGGGAGCGAATCTTTAAGCAGACTACCTGCTGAGCAGGGAGCCCTATGCAGGGCTTGATCTCACCGCCCAAGAGATCATGACCCAAGCTGAAACCAAGATTGGACGCTTAACTGACTGAGCCACCCAGGTGCCCCTCGAAGCATTTTCCTAAGAGAGTTTATAATCTTAATATAGTAACATAGGCATTAAATATAAAGGGTATGTTTATTTGGAACTAAACTTGAACTTTATTCTAAATTGAGAATAGAATAAATTATAAAGCATAATTTTTTTTTAAAGATTTATTTATTTATTTGAGAGAAAGTGTGTGCATCCATAGGAGGGGGAGCAGAGGAAGAGGGAGAGACTCTCAAGCAGACTCCACGCTGAGTGCAGAGCCTGATGTGGGGCTCAATCCCAAGACCCTGAGATCATGACCTGAGCTAACAAGAGTCTGATGCTCAACTGACTGAGCCACCCAGGCACCCCAAAGCATTATCTTATCAGAGCAATGGATAAGGAAACAAGTCAAGATATGAGTTTAAAAAAAAAAAAAAAAGGTCAGGGATGGTCAATTTCATAGTTACCACTACTTATGGTTGTGGGACTTTCCTGATATCAAAAAAAGCAAACTGAAAATAAATGGAACTAAAAACCAAAGGATACTAAACATTAATAACTGAACTAAATCCTTTCCCCTGCTTTTTAAAATAGTTTAAACAGTTTTTTAAAACTCAATTTTAAAGACTTTAAGACGATCAATGTAACCCACTTCTATGTTACATAGATACTAAGACACAAATATTCTGCCACTTTAATATCTCTGAAATTGGGAGGCATCAGACCATCTCTGGCATATTAGGAGTTTAACTGGCAGCATTTCTTCCTTCTAGGTGGTACATAAAACAATGATGTGAATCTTACAACTGATGACATTTTGGATTTGATGAAATACTGACCATATCATGTCATGATTTTATCATCCAGACTATGTAACCCATTTTATTTTATTTTGTTTATTTTTTTATTAAGTAGGCACCATGCCCAGCATGGGGCTTAAATTCACTACCCTGAGATCAAGAGTCCCATGCTTTACTGACTGAGTCAGCTAGGCACCCCCCAGTTAATCCATTTTAAATGGAAAGTAGTGCTACATATTCATGCAAGATACACTTAATGAACTTCACTGAGATGCTAATTGTTACAGAGCAGAGTGACAATGAGGTACTTGGGGGAAAATGAAAAGGCTTTGGAGAAGACAAACCTGAGCATAAATTTTGGTTCCATCATACATCATTTAATTGTAGGGAAGAGTCTTAGCTTCTCTGAGCTCCTGTTCCCTCACCTATAAAATGGGTACATCTACCCGGCAGAGTTATGTGAATGAATATGCAAAGTGGCTGGTAATTAGTATCCATCCCATCTTTTCTTGACATATGCCTGTATGGTTTAATTCCAGAAACAATCTATAGAGAAGATTCGCTGAACCTCTGAGTTAAGTTATGATATGGGATCCTTGATGAACCAGGCTATAATGTGTACATACAAAGAAGCTGGCAGATCAGGCAACAAAAATCACTTTTCTTACCTGGAATTTCTGGTGTTCTCTGGATAGTTTTCTTTGGGACTGTCTGGCTTAAAATAGTTTGTGAAGATGGTTCATCCTCTAAAAACAGACATGACATTTGTCAATATTCAGAACATATGACGTGGGTAGAGCTTATGCAATACATAAGCAGAAATGCAAGTAATTCATTTCTTTAGAAATGTGTAATTAGATCTACCAAAACAAAGGAATTCGGGTATAACTACTCTTAACGCAGCATTAAAATCAACTATTCAGCTCTGATGCTTTACAAAAAAGGTATATTAATTTAGAAATGTAAAAGATGGGCCAGAGTTTCAGAAATGATGTGGAAGAAAGCAGAAGTGTGAAGAATGTTTAGATCCTCATAGACTGACTAATATAGAAATAAATCCTTTATGTATTAAAAAAAAGTTAGCTTGTACAACTGCACTAGGCTCTGCGGCAGAGTCAATACAATGTAACCTATTTATTGCGGGCCGGTGCAAAGCGCAAAGCTGTCTTCAGATATCGAAGGAGATAAAATTAACTTCAAAGATGATGGGATCTTTTGTCTTCAGGAAGTTTCTAATCTTGAAAGAGAGATAAAACTAAGCGGGCTAAACTGTCTTGAGTAGCTACACCCAACAACAGCTTACATCTCTTTAACGTAAAGTTTTCAAAATCAACGCATCTTCAAATGTGTCCGCACTTCATGGATCAGCAGGTACAAGCGTTGTCTAGTACTCCGCTGAGCTGACAATCCACCTCCTCTTTGAATCTGGCAATGGGCTACCACTAACTATGTAATTCCATTGTGATTCAAACCCCGGGAATTTTAGCTCATAGGTGCCTTACAGGTGGCCAACACCAAACTTCACCTGTGACTCAGTGTTAGATGGGGAAAGAGGTGGTGGGTGGGAGTGGACGGCTTAAGGGAATTTCTTCCCCAGTGACTTACCTAAAACCATACACTCGCTTTGCCAACATCCTTTCTGCCCATTTAGAGGAAAACTAATTAAGAATTTTTGCAGAGACCACCATACTTGAGAAAGAGTTCAAGTTTATCAGGCATTAGGGATCTAGTTCCGTATAACTGCCTTAACCCACCTCGGTGTAAATACTGGCGGGGGGGGGGGGGTTGACTCCAGTCCATTCACCCACTACGCTATCCCTCGAAACGCCCACTGACCAAATTTCCCCTCTCTCTCCCCCGACCTGGGTGGCGATGGGAAAGGACTGGAGGGTTACATGGCACCCTAACTCTCGGCTGGGGACTTGTGGCCTCTGAGAGTTAGAGGAAATGGAAGTGGCTTTGGTAGCAACATCCGCAGGACAGAGGGGACCGAAGTGAAACCGAGCCTGAAGTGCTCCGCTGTCCCGCCCGCCCCCCAACCCGCCGTCCCCCCATAAAGGCCTGCAGAAAGAGGCCTTTCGGAGCCTCCAAGGGGATGCCCAGGGATGCGCACAGTTGCCCGCTCAGGTCGCTCCGCCCGACCGCCTTTCCAAGCCTCCCGCCGTCGCCTCTTCCCCGCCTGCGGTCGGGGCGGACCCCGCGTGGGGGCGCCCGCCCATCCGCGCCGCGGAGCCACAGGAGCCCGGGCGGGGATGAGCTGCGCGGGGACGCACGCCCGCCCGGCACGCGCACACGCGCCGCTAGCACCCGCGCGCTGCGCTCGCTCCCCGGTTCGCGGCTGAGACTGTTCCCTCCGGCGGCCTCACCTTCGGAGGAATGAGAGTCCCGTAACCCTCTCCTGGTGGTAACCGGAGACGGCTGGAGCAGGGGCTGCTGTGACTGCTGCTGCTGGCGGATAGTCCTTCGCGTGTTCATCTCCTCGGCTCCCTGGCGTCGCGGCTGCCTCCGCTGCCGAGACCGAAGGTAGTAGGCGCTTTCTCTCACTTCCTCTTTTGCAGAATCAGGCCGGAACTCATCTAGCGGGACTCGTCTTCTCGCCGGAGACTTTTCTTTGGCCGCCCGGGGCTCGAAGTCGCCGTACACTTCTGGCGGCTCCTCTGAGAACCTCACTTCCCGCCGGCCGTGGCGCGACGGCGAAGGAGTTCGGTACGCAGGCGCGTCACTGGCACCGCCATTTTGAGGGGCGAGCCGGCGTCTTCCCTCCCGTAGGGGGGCCCGGGCTGTGACGTACATCCCCCAAGCTTCCCTCCCCGGCTCCGCCCGCCGCCCGTCGCCCGCCATAGTTGTTGACTTAGCTTGAGTCGATCGCGAAGGTGGTTTGGGGGTCCGTAGATTGTCCTGTCGTTGGTGGCGACGACTTCTCGTGGTGTTGGGCGGTGGTCGCGGTGGTCAGGGAGGCAGTTGAGAGTCGCCGGGGCCGCCGCCGGCGTCGTCGCTGCTGTGCTGCAAACCTGCCTCTGGGCCCATGGTGTGTCCTGAGGGCTGTGGGAGAGGCAGTGCCTATGCCGGGTCAGCTGTTGCGGGTCACTCCCGCCTCCTGGCTGAAGGCACCAAAGAGGAGGAGAGGGAGGACGACGTCGCTGTCCTTGCCCTTGGGGGAGGGAGGGAGGGGACGACGAAGAATGGACAACTGGCCGGGCAAATTGCCTTTCCTAAACCCAGCTGCTCGTGGCGAGTGTTACCCGCACGCAGGAGACGCCGGTCCTGGCACCGGGTTCCGAGTCTCTGGGAAAGGCCGAGCGAAAGTCGGGTGCAGAAGTTTCTGTCCTCGCCCCCAGGCTGTTGCGCAGTTTTCCTGGAACGTTTTTGAGCGACTGCTACCTTAGCCGTGCCTTTCCAGGTGTTTCTAGGAGGAGTAATGGTTTAAAGATAGGTCGACAAGTGCCGTCTTTTCTTGGAAAAATTTTTCAGTTTTGAGCTCCTTAAGAAGGCAGCGAGTTTTAAATTTTAAGTCACCTGTTGAGAGTCCAAAATCGTATCTGCAGGCGCACACACACGGGTGGATTTCCATTTGCAGAATTTATGCAGTCTTCTTTCTGGCATTCCTGTAAAAGCTCTGTTCCGGTAGCATTGTTCAGAAACCCAAGTGGTGCCGTGTTATGGACATTGAGAAATACTCGGATTAAGTAAGAGCAATATAATTTTAACTTGTGATCCGTTGTTTTTATTTTGATTCTGGGTATGATGTGATCTACTGAATTTGGCTTAGGGATTCCTGTATTTAGTTTACCGAGTAAGAGAACCTGCTGAGAGTTACTTGTTTCACCTCTCTATACCATGTTTACAGACGTGGGTAATCTGCAGATATTTAGACAAATTTAGACATAGAGGTGGTCAGTATTTGGGAGAAAGAGTAATGTTACCTCATACATACACACTTGTCTTCTTGGAGGGCTTCCTAGAATTGATTTTAGTGAGTGAAGAAATTATGTAATTTCGGGGGCGCCTGCTTGGCTCAGTGGGTTAGGCCTCTGCCTTCGGCTCAGGTCATAATCCCAGGGTCCTGGGGTCGAGTCCCGCATCGGGCTCTCTATTCAGCAGGGAGCCTGCGTCCCCTCTCTGCCTGTCCCTCAGCCTACTTGTGATCTCTCAAGTAATAAATAAATAAAGTCTTTTTAAAAAATTGTAATTTCGGGCACCAGTTAAAATGAATGATTCTGAAAACGGAAGATGTTTACTTCAGGTGTTTTAAATCACCTTAGAATGCTTTTCAGCAACTCCGTTGCATAACTGGGCAAAAATTTCAATTTAATCTTCAGGTGTTACTATGTTTTCATTAATAGTTCATAAATTCGGCTTCAGACCTGGTTACATGCTTAGCCTGTCAGGAGCTTAGTTTAGTTTTGTTTACAATATACAACATAGCCAAAGAAATTGGAGGAAGAATAACAAAGGAGGTGCTACTTATTTTTTAATCTTTTAAGTTAAAATTAAAAGTGTATTCTCCTTTATCGGCTTGGATAAAATGATAGAGTATTTGGAAAATTTGTGGGACTTAATTCTTCTCTGATAAAATGCTGAAATGATTGATACATGGTAATACCTGGCTTTTATTTTTTTTAATTTTTAATTTTTAATCTGGCTTTTATTTAAGTAATGATTTCTCTATAAGGTGCCTATAATATTGCTCATTATTAACATAATAAAAGTTTCATAATGTAATTATTAAATAATATAAAACTTTATAGTATTAATATACAAAACTCATATTATGAACATTAATGCATAGTAAGTACCTCTTTCAAACACTTACCAGTACAGTTTCTATGTAGGAACTTGGACACAGCCTTTTAAATTTAGGTTTGGGGACATATTAAGAAAGAAAGGATGAGAGATTCTATATGTTACTGAACAATCAAAGAAAATGATCTTCATATCATTGAATAATCAGTACTGTGTTACACTAGCTGCTTGTAAAGGCTTAGGAAAGAAACTAATGGTTTTGGCTTTCCAAAGAAACAAATAGGGAATCATAAAATCACAGGTATGGTAACTTTGATGATAACACATATATTTGCTTAGGATTTTCTCTCTTTTGTCTAGCTAACGATACGTATTCCTAGCTCTGCCATACCTGCCTCCCACACCTAGCAACCTTACGAATACCAGCTTTCATCACTAACTGTGAGGTAGAGCTAAGCTCTTGTCAAACCAGATTTGCTGCTGTAGATATTTTCCAAACTACAAGGCTGGCCCATAAGAGGTGACATTAGAGGCAGTAGATTCATAGCCAATAGTGTAAGGGACTTGCTGGGTCAGCAATCCCAAGATGGAGCCTGAGCTCTGGAGGTTAGACAGTTACTTCAGGAATTTGAGGTATATAGAGGAATTCAGTGGATCACAAGAAAAGTCAAGGAAGAGAAGAAATGATTATAACAAATAATTTAATTTACATATTTATCAAACATCCGTATTGCCACAGAATAGACGTTTGGTAAATGTATGGGTTAAATTAACGTGTATTCTTTATCCTTAGGGAATTTGCCATTTATTCGGAGAAAGACATACACCAAAAATTATAATTCAGATTAAATGACTGGCATCATTTATATACCCAGCTCTCATGCCTAGGTCTAGAAGTCTAGTGTTGTTGACACTGGATTTCTAAAGCAGCTGTTCTAAAAGAAACATTTAAAAATAATGTAATTTTTGTAGGAGAGTTTTTTGTTTAGGGTAAGCAGAAATCCAGTTATTTACTGAGAAAGCATCTATCAGTTCTTTGAGCATAATCACATTTCTGGTCAGTAGGGAAAGAACTTTGTATCTTAGTAGAAAAGCAACATAAGTTAAAGATTAAAATATTCAGAAAGTAAACTAAAGAAATAGTAGCTTACTCCATTCATTCCCCATTCTCACAAGTAAAAGTAAAAATATTTTAAAGACCATTAATACAAACGAAAGTGTCTGGAAATGTTATACTGAAATTTTAAAAAGTTAAAGTAAGTGGGATATAATACTTATTCTTTGTTGAATTAGAAATTGCAACATCTAGGAATGTTCCCAAATCACAGTGTTTCTGTGATTTCCGCAGAAAGAATGAGAGATGAAGGCACCCAAAATCACCACTACATGAAGAATCGTTAACCAAATAAATATTTGAGCTTCTGCTCTGTTCTAGACAAACCCTGCTCTAGGTTCTGGGGATAAAGCAGTGCAAGACTAGACTAAAATACAACCAACCCTGCGTTGGAATTTATATTCTATGGGAGTCAGATAAAAAAGTAAGTAAAATAGTGTCTTGGTCAGAAATGTTACGAGGAAAAAATAAGGGAAGAGTGAGCTTTAAGAGGGATTTCTTCTGTGTTGTTTTGAATTGGTGTTGATCAGGAACAGGAATTTTAGGCTTCCTTGGCTGCCCCTGGCTGATCACGCGTTCTAGCGTAAATTCCTTGCTCTCAATCTTAACATTTATATAATCAAAATAATAGCTATTTTAAAAAATTTACTACTGTCATTTAGCAAATACCGTTACGTTTATTAATTAGCACGTTTGCTCACTATAACCTTATGAGGTATGTATGTAAGAGCCTTGCCCCCATTTGACACAAGCAAACGGAGGTTTGGATTAAGCAACTCGTTTGCGGACACACACCTAGCAGAGGTTCCAAGTCACGTCTGCCTGGTGCTTGCCATTACTGGGTAGTGCCCCTCACAGAGTTGGTGCCATGGGTTGTTCCAGCCTGTAAATTTACAAGGACTAGAGTCTGTGGTGGTTTTGCAGAGATGGGTGCCTTCCTGTGGGATTGCAGGGGACCTGGTCCCGGGCGGCTCTGTGGGGCGCCCTCGCCACGCCTCTCGCCCGGGCTTTGGCGGGTGGAGGGGGGAGAATGGAGGAAGGGGGGGGGGGGCGTCCTGAGGAGGAGGAGGGGCGGGCCGACTACCAGTCCCAGCATTCCGCGGGCTCCTCCCCTCCCCACTGAGGTCGTGTCACGTGGACAGGAGCTGGGACGACGTTCTGATCCGCCGCGTCCAAGGAGGGGTGCAGCCCGGCTGCGTCGTGGAGCGGAAAGAACACCCGAAGGGCTCCCCTGACGTTGACAGTTCACAGTTTAAGACCCTGCTAGAATTTGTAAGTAAGTAAAATGTATATACAACTTTTCCGTGTGCTAATATTTTATCTGATATCTTCTTTGGAGAGATTTTTCTGAAATAATCCCTCCCCACCCCCACCTCGGTACTGCAAAAAACCTTAAGCGGAGCAGTTTGGGGGCATATTTTTGTTTAGGAGTAAAACAAGAGAAATCAGATGTTACAAACACTAAACAAATTAAGGTGGGAATAATTGTTTGGTTTGGACTTTGAGACGAGAATTAGAATTCCTATAAGTCTCAAAATATAAACGGGAAATCGGCCAGTGCAGGTGGAGATTACACTCTTTACCTGCATGCCTAACAGGGTGGCATTATTTCGTCATCTTTATCCTATAAAACAGTACTCTCCCCCCGCTTTTTTAGCCTTAATGGTGCTAAAAAGGGCTAAGTTTGAAGTTTTGGTAAGAACCTACATTTATTTTTTTGTTTACATATTATATATGTACATACATATTTTTTCTCAGTTGAATTTCATACCCGTTGTGAAAGTTTACCCCTTTTTCTTCCTTCAGGAAAGTGTGTAGTGTTCTATCAGTCAGGCTTGTTAGACTTTCTACATAGAGTTTCTTAATCTGATTCTACATACTGCTTTTGTTTCAGTTTTACCTGTCTCTGAGTTTTAAAACATTTTATTTTTGATCTGTATGAGAAACCCTTTACTTGTCCGTATTTTTTTTTTTTTTTTAAAGAATTGGGGCTGTTGGGGGGCAAGGAAAAGATTTAGGGCCATGGAATCTATCCATATTTATCAGTTTTATTTTTTAAGTACATGATTAACATATACATGGCTAGTGGAAAATCATTTAATGAAAAAAAGGAACTTCATTGTAGAAGAACTAAAAATGTCCTTGGAAGCACCTGCGTGGATTACAACGGTTTGAAAAACTGGTATTTGCTACGGAAACTTTGAGATCCTCTCCTCAGTAATTTTTTTATTATATTGAAGGCAGAGGCCACAACCTGATTACCAGTTTCACTGCTGGTTCATCACATAACCATGAGTGACTCACTTAAGTTCTATTTCCCGTATCTTCCTTGCTACCATAGAGAAAATACTAGCCCGAGAGCTCCTGTAACTTTATGAATAGAGTAACTTACAAATTTAGCTAATAATACTTGAGGATTTTGGAGTATTTTAGTAATGTCTTATGTCTTGTATGTAATTCATTTTTGCCTGAGATGTTATTTTAAACTGTATACTATGGAACTCCACCTTTCTCTGAAGCTCCATTTGAATTTCCTTACGGGAAGTTTGCTCAGAGTAGCCCTATCTGCTTTCTGTTTCTCATTTTGCATATAGAATTTGTGTTAAAATCTCATTAGTGTTTTACATCTTATGACTACTATTGTGTCCCACAAGACGTAAGTCCATATAGTGACTACACTTTTAACTTTTGCACAGCAAATCAAGCTTTTTTTTTTTTTAAAGATTTTATTTATTTATTTGACAGACAGAGATCACAAGTAGGCAGAGAGAGGGGGAAGCAGGCTTCCCGCTGAGCAGAGAGCCTGATGTGGGGCTAGATCCCAGGACCCTGGTATCATGACCTGAGCAGAAGACAGAGGCTTAACCCACTGAGCCACCCAGGCACCCCTCAAGCTTGTTGTGAATAAAGAATGATTGTCCCCATCATTGATCATGACTGAGCTTGGAGTCAGAGCTGAGTTTGAATTCCTGTTCTGTCACTGTGTGACTTGGGCAGGTGGCTGTATTGCTCTGAGCTCCTTTCCTCATCTCCAAAATTGAGATGCATAGGGTTATTTGGAGTATTAAATAGGATAGTTTAAGGACTCAATAGATGGGAACTGTTAATACTAATTGGGCTACTAACACTGAGGAAGTTGGTCCATGATTTTGATAATCAAAACAGAAAGGAAGAAAATTCACCTATAATTCACTACCTCAACAGATCAAATTGTTGTTTTTTTTTTAAGTGTATTCCTTTAGCCCTTCACCATAGGTATACATAATGTAAATATAATAACCTTTTTACAAAAAGTCAAATTTGAAAGAATGGTGTGTTAACTTCTGAGAGTTTTATATAAATAAAGCTCTCTGGGTCTGCCTTTATTCTGATCTAGCGAAGAAACAGCAGAACTTTATTTTAGCCCAAGTTCAAATAATAATAGTTTTTGAGGGCTTCTTTTGTGTCCTCATAGTGGCAAATGTGGTACATTATCTTTTTAACCCTCAGTGCCTCTTCTTTCTAGGTAGTGTTACTCCTTTTTGTGGTTAAGAAAACAGAAGACATAGAGAGGAGTTCAACAACTGTGCAAGCCCAGGCAGTCTGACTCTAGAGTACAGTGCTGCAAGGGCTTTATCTTCGTACCTTCAGTGTCTGGAAGTTAGGTCGTATATGTAGGCAGGAATTGATCCTGGAGGCTGACTTAAAACTTCTTTGTATAAAAGTATAACAGTATCTATAATTACTGTAACCACTTTAAAAATCTTTTTATAGGAAAATAGTGAAGAATAGGGAAGTGTAGACTGTCTGAACAAGTGAAGCATTCACCTATAGTTTTATTAGCTGTGTCAGTAAAAGTATGATTTATATACAAGGTGAGTTACTAAGAGTAAATTTTCCTATGTTTATTAAACAAAGGGTCTACACTGAAAGAAAACTTCTTCAAAGTAGTGTTTCTCAAACTTCGTAGTGAAGCATTAGAATCTTTTGTCAAACCTCTTAAAACATAGCCTGCATCAGCCTCTCAAATATTCTGGTTAAAGTAGGTCTGGGGTCAGGTCCAAGAATTTGCATTTCTAATATGCTCCAAGATGACGCTAATGATTTCCAGCTAATGAGTTTAGTAAGGAAACAAATAGTGGTGGCTATCCAAATTGTTGATTTGACAGTGAAACTTTGGTTTTTAAGCATTATCTTTTGCTAAAAGGACCGAGGATTTTTTTTGAAACACTGTTGATCCCAGGGCTGAAGCAGGGAGCCTGGAACATCTTGTGCTTGAAATTAAGGAAATGCTCAAAAAAATTTAGAGGCTTGTCGAAAGGACACGGGAACCTACTTGAAGGAGCTTCAAATGGCCAAAGTTGGAACAATTTAAGCAACAAAATGAATAATGGTAGTATTGAATTTTAAGGCAGGGAACAAAATTAAGTATCCACGTTGAATGGGTATAGTTGAATAAACAAACAGGAAAAGGGACAACTCTTTCTTAACTGAGGAAGTCCAGTGAATGAAATGAATGAAAAGCAGGAAGTAGAAAATCATCAGGCATACAGCACTATAATAATTTTTTTTTTAAGATTTATTTATTTATTTGACAGAGATCACAAGCAGGTAGAGAGGCAGGCAGAGAGTGAGTGGAGGAAGCAGGCTCCCCACTGAGCAGAGAGCCCGATGTGGGGTTGGATCCCAGGACCCTGCGATCATGACCTGAGCCGAAGGCAGAGGCTTAACCCACTGAGCCACCCAGGTGCCCTTGTAGTAATTACTGCAGACAAAATTCACTTATAATGCTAGTGGATGGAAGTTTGAGGAAAATCAAGATATTTGAATATTCTGAAAAACTCTCTCAAGGTAATTACAGCTGGAAAGGAAAAGCAGTAACTTGGCATTGGAGATACCATATTATCCCAATGATTGAAGTTAACATCACCAATAGCAGGACATGGACATCATGAACTCAGTGATATGATGCAGATAGAAGGATACAACATCATTTCTTCAGTAATACTGCTGCCAAAAATGCATGAGAAATGTCACGAGAAAACATTATACAAACCCAAATTGAGGATCATTCTACAAAATAACTGACAGTTACTTTTCAGAAGTGTCAAGGTCACAAAGACTAAGTAAGTTCACAGAAGACAAAAGAAACTAAAGACTAAGACACTGTCAGAGTTTAGAGATTCAGGAGAATTAACAACTAAATGTGATATGAGATCCCAGATAGGATCTGGAACAGAGAAAGGACATTAATGGAGAAACTGGTGAAATTTAAAAAGTCTGTAGTTTAGTTAACTGATGTGTACCAATGTTAGTTTCTTGGTTTTTTTATTTAAGATTTTAGTTTTTTTACGAGATAGAGAATAATACTGGCATATTATGACAATAAATATAGTCCAGAGGAGTGAGCAAGACTTAGAAATTTAGTTTTAAACACAGACACAAATAGCATACGTATAGGAATAGAAATACCCGAACTTGGCACTAGGTCCCACTATTGGAAGTTGTGTATTAACCTTAAAGATTTTACTGCTGGTGTTTGAATTTGAACCGTGACTTTTGGGCCATTAGGGCAAGGTCAATTGAAATGTACGCATAAATGTCTGAAGCAGCTGTTCTGTTGTAGGTATGCTTGCAGGCCACACATACACCTGTTTTGTCTGTCAGTTGCCGGAGTGAGAGGCAGCTGTTTTCCAACTCAGGATCGTTTTTTTGTTTGTTTGTTTGTTTGGCTCATGTGTTCTTTATAAGAGGGAACAGTGTATGTGGTAAGTTGTGCTGAAGATTGTCATCCATATGTCTTTTCTCACTGATTCCAACACTGCCAAATTAGAAATAGTTTCTCACAAAACAGTCTGAAGACTTTCTAAGGAGCATTTATTTTCATGATATATTTAACACAATTATTTTAGATTATGAGAACTTAAAAAGAACGTTCCTGTTTATGCCCATGCTCCTTAATCTCCTGCCTATAAATTCCAAACTACTAAAAAATATGAAACTTGAATGGTTTGACTTTGTGTATGAAACTTATCAGAGAAATTGTCTCATATAAAAAAGAGGTATTTTTTTTAATTGGTTAACCTTAGAATATAATACTCCATGGAAGAAAATAATTAAAATGGGAACTCATGGTTTAATTTATATTTTTATATTTTTTCTGTATATCTGTCTTCTGATTTTATATATTTAAAGAGTTAGTGGAGGCTGAATTCTAAGGAATATGTTTGCCTGGAGAAGTCACCCCAATCCTGACTCAGTCTGAGACTTACATTATCCTACCATAAAAAGAACAAG